CTGCTGCTGCTGGTTGCTGGTTGCTGGTGTTGCTGCTGTTGCTGCTGTTGCTGCTGCTGCTGATCCTGCTGGCTGCTGCTGCTGCTGTTTGGCTGTTGCTGTTGCTACTTCCTGCTGGTTGATCCTGTTGCTTGAATACTGAAGGCTGTTGCTGCTGCTTTGCTGGCTGCTGTTGCTGCAGTGGTTGTGACAGTGGTTGTGCTGGGGCGGGCACTGTTGGTGCTTTCTTTTGCTGCCCTCAGTCTCCACCCTCTTTCAATTTCGTTTGCACATCCCCCCCCGAAACTGAACGGAAACCAATCGTTGTGGAGGACAAACTTGTGTGAGCTTTGGTGCTTTGCTGCTGCTGCTGCTGCTCCTGCTCCTGCTCCTGCTCAGAATCTTCCAACCTCTACCTTTCGTCCACCTCCGTCGCCTCAAGTCGGTGAATCCTGACCATTGCTTGCGGCTGGCTTTGTTCCTTGCAGGAGTTCTTCAACGTCAAGGAATTTGTTGGGACACGCGTGAAGTTTGATACAGGTGACGTTCAATGGCATCCTGGCCAGAAGCCGCGACCAACATCAGCGCAGCAGCCAGCCCGATTGGGCATGGCAGCGCGTGCGGGGGTTGGGAATGGCGGCTATGGCAAGGGCATGTGGGATGGCCGCAGGGGCTACAATTGGGGCCTGCAGCGCGGCATGATCCAGGGACCCCAACGGCAAAGGAGTGGTAAAGTTGTAAAGTGCTCATGGAGCTCGCCACATGTGCTCTTCATTCACTTGCCGCGATGGTGTGCATGCTAGAAGAGGTTTGCATGTAGAATGCTGGCCGTAAATCTCCAGCAATTATATACATTTTTGTGCAGAGAAGCGGTGGAGACAAAAGTGCTGTTTGATAAAGCGGCTTATCATGGCTTCATCCTGTGTTGCTTTATATATCTCATTTATCTTCAGGAGTTGCTGACTGCCCTGAGGTGTTTTGTCCGCAGGTTTTTGGCTAAAATTGTTCAGGAAGCGGAGGGCGCCAGAGAAAAGATGAGCGCCTTGCCAAACGGCACCGGCACCTGCACGTCCTTCAATCGGAAGGCAGGGGGTGGGCAAGATTTTAGTGATTTTGCTACAACAAACTATTGACATGAATTGAGCATCAATGTGCTTCATATAGGATGCGTGTGTTGACCCTTTGTCACTTTTGTGTAGCATGCGTGCTGAGTCCTGAGTACAATAATCATGGGGATATTTTTTTGACCATTTTCTTCCTTTATCCGTTTGTATGTGACGTTGAGGGAGCGATCAACTCGTGCATGAACCGCGCAGGGCTTTGGCTTCATCGACATGAACGGGGTCACGGTGTTTGTTCACGTGCGGAATTGTGAGCCGAGGGGCAAGGCACCCAAGGTGGGCGATTTCCTCACTTTCCAGTATGAGCCGAACAAGAAAAACCCAGAACAGATGGAGGCGGGCGTTTTTGAGGTTGCCGGAGTTGCCTTGTGTGAGTGAATGGCGAGTACTGAGTAATGTGAAACACCCCAGCTCCAGCATGCTTTTGTATATTGACAATGCAAAGTGCTGGCTGGCTTCGAAACTGCAATTTGTGCGGCAAAGGTTGGCCCTCTGAAAAGGGTCACACTCAAATAGAGGCAAGGTCTCAAAACGATAGACCCCATTGCCATCAAGTGCAAAGTGGGAAAGGGGTTTGTATTTTTTGACGCGTCCAGGACTTTGGCGAAGCATAGTCAAAGATCCCGGCCCGGGAACGTTAATGAACACATAAACACCCAAAGAAATCTGTTTGCCAAAGCTTCCCAAAACAGTTCCTTGAAGTTCTGCAATGCTTCATAGACATACTCCGGGAGAGTTCATGATTGCTAGCAACCGACAAGAACACATAATTATTTCCTTTGATGGGTCTGTGCACCTTGTGCATAGAAACCTGGAATTCTTTATCCAAAAGATTTTAGGGCATTCAAAGCTGCTGAAATGACTGCTTTGTGTTGCCGGCAAAGCAGGTGTTCTGTGTTCCGCTTTTGGGGGACAGAACGGGAAAGATCATAGTCATACCCAAGCCACAGTATTTAAAACTTCTGATGAACAACTTCCTTGTGCAGGCATATAACGTGAAGGGTTGCACTGGTGTGGATGAAGCATGGAGTGGCTCCTTTGCTGGCGCTGGTCCAGTTGAGGGCACTGGGGCCTACTCTGGGACTGTTATCAGCTTTGGTCCAAAGGGCTTCGGCTTCATCAGCATGGGGGAAGGCCAACCGGAGCTGTTCTTCAATGCGAAGGACTGTGTAGGTAGCAAGCCCGTGACCGGAGACACGGTGAAGTTCGATTTGACACCGAGCGACGCCAAGCCCGGACAGATGCAGGCCAGGTCCATCCAGGTTCAATCATTTTGAATCAAATGACCACGTCAACCCTATTTTCCAAGAAACACCATCTTCCAAGCTCCATGGGCGGGGCAAAGTGTTCGTTTGGAAGCAGAATTCGTTGCCTGGTCACCTCCTTGATATCCCACTGCGCAGGCGAGGAACGTGACCGGTGGAAGCCAGCCACTAGACTCTCCACATCCAGGGACCACGGCCTGGGGGGGGCGACTGGGGTAGTATGGGGGATGTTACCAGTGCAATGTGGGAAGTGTTGGCCAAAGCCATGGGAAAAGGCTGGGGGGATGCCAGCAAAGGTATGGGAATGAGTGGCAAAGGCAAAGGTGACAAAGGTGGCAAAAGTGGCAAAGGCTACGGCCCACAATACTCTTCGGGCGGAAGCCAACTCGGCCAGAGCTCTCCCTATGGCTACAAGGCCAGCGACGGCCAGGACTGGCAGAATGAGCAGGGCTGGGGCCAGCACGGGTACTGGTAACTATACCACCATTCCTTTCCCGCAAGCTTGCCTCAGGGCTGCTACCACCAGCTGCATGCCATGGCGGGCTGCAGCCGCAGCAGGGAGCGCTTCATGGTACGTGATGCGCCACGAAACTATAAGCTGGTCCGGCGATCCTTTGGATCAGACGGATGGTTTCCGAGTGGATCCGAAGCAAGTACTGTTTGAAGCAATCAGAATTATGGAACTGAAACGTGACCTTGTCACTAGTAAGTACCGTAGCAACTACTGCCCAAATGTGTGGATCCACGGGTAAAATTCGAACATCCAATGAGAGGTGGTTTTGGAACTTGGTATAAAATTACAATTGGTTTGTTCTCTAGTGTTCCTTGTAGATCCAGAAAGACATCCACACAAAGGCTGTGGAACGGGTGCAGGATTGTTTGTGAGGTTCGTGGCAGGCATGGACAATTTGAAGGGATGACCTTCAACTTACGAACTGTAATTGCAAAATCATGACCCTGGGCTTCACGAGGGTGGATGTATGGGTGCAAAGACATGAGCCAATTCAATTCATTTCATGACCACCTCAACTGGTTGTCGATAGACGACGTGCCAGAGCAGTTCAAAGAACCCACAGGTCTGAACAGAAGAAATGGCCATGCCGCCTGCCAATCTTCAGCCAACGCCCAGTTCAGCTTTGCCAAAAACGGTCAAAGGGGCGGGTTCTGCTTGAAGCTAGTGGGAAGTCGGATTCGTATACCAAGCCATTCATAGACCTTTGCATTTGTGCCAGGGAAATGTAAACAATGCCAAGAGCTGTAGTGGTCCTTGCAGCACGATAGGGTCTGAGACATGCAGCTTGAGTCAAGTAGGTTGAAAAGCGAAAGAAGAGATCCAATCAGTTGATGCTTACTCTATATATGTATAGACTATATAATGTTGCAAAAAAGATGCACAAAGGGTTCATGAGGCCTGATATATTCCGACGACTCTTAGCAGACCGATTGCCATTTCGGCAGAAGCATGCGCGCCTTGAGGAGGTAGAGGCGTTGGAGAGACTTGGCCTTGACGCCATGGATTCAAGCTCATTGCCATCAGGAACCGGGTCCTGCACGTCCTTCAATGTTGCCAAGGCCAGGTTGGCTTTTGTTGCTGGTTTGTGCCTAGGGCAAAGGATTCCGAGAAGGCAAGTGTCTAACTACTACTGCAGAGTACATGACAGGAGGTAAAGAGACACTCTATACTGTTCAGGGTTGTGCTACCAGAGCAAATGACTGCCCTTGTCATCTTGATTATTGACGGTGCAGGGCTTTGGCTTCATCGACATGGGGGGGGTGACGCTTTTCGTCCATTTCTCCGAGTGCGAACCTGGCAAGCAGCCAAAAGAGGGCGATATTTTGACCTTCGAGTATGAGCCCAGGAGATCCGGCTCATTTGGGGTGGGAGGGTGTCTTGAGTTGGAATATTGTTTAATTATGTCTAATCTTAAGTCTTCATCAATTGCACGGTGACTACGATAGGTGTTCTAATTTATTGTAGCAGATGCGGTTTGTTTACCTATGGTGGCAGGAAGAACAACCCGGAGCAGTATCAGGCCAAAAACGTGAAGGGATGCTCGGCAGATCGAATTGCTTGGGGTTCAACTTTCAATGGTCCAGTCGAGGGGACGGGGACATGCACCGGGAGATGCAAGAGCTTTGGTGCAAAGGGCTATGGCTTCATAGTCATGGACGATGGCACAGAGCTGTTCTTCAACGTGAAGGACTGTGTTGGCAGCAAGCCAGCAGCCGGTGATATTCTGAAGTTCGACATGGCGGACAGTCAGATGAAGCCAGGCTCAAAAGAGGCGTGGCGGTAGTGCTGAGAAGCACTATAAGTGTTCAGAACTGACTTGCCAGCGCAGGCTGATGACCTGTTGTTATACAATTCAGTTTCATGTCTCTGATAGGATTGATACGTTTTTGCGCTTCAGGCCAAAAACGTCACTGGTGGAAGTCAGCCGCTAGATATGCAGATGAAAGGAGGCTGGGGAATGTGGGGTGATGGTTGGGGAGGTAAGGGTGGGTATGGTCCATGGCAAGGTGATTGGGGCTGGGATGGTGGCAAAGGAGGCAAAGGCCAAGGCATGTGGGGAGGAATGAAGGGTGGCATGGGCGGCTATGGCGGCTATGGTATGAATGGTGGCATGGGCAGTTGTGGTATGGGCATGGGTGGCAGCGGCATGGGAGGAGGAGGAGGCATGGGTGATGGTGGTGGTGGTGGTGGTGGTTGTATGGGCTGTGGTATGGATGGCGGTGGTATGGGCGGGCCATATGGCAAAGGCGGCTGCAGCAATTGGTAAACATCAAGTGCCTTTGGCCGCCTGAAATGTCAACTCAATGCCTTGCGAGCATCCGCACTCCTCAACTTCAGCGTGCTGCTCAGTATGCTGCTCAGTAGCCTGCTCAGTAGGAACTCCGTCACCAACGGCATGATTTCCCAAGTGGAATGGTTCAGCCAAACAATGGCCATTTGGTGAAATGTGGCTCCAAAGCCTCCAATATCTCAAATCATCTCCCCAAATTTGCCAATGTTTGTCTCACAGAGTGTTGGCAGAGCGCACATGGTCCGTATATAAAAGCAGCTGCCTGAGAGAGCGATCGGGTGCGAATGGATGTTTACATTGCGCCTCCAAATGACTCCGCAAGACTCCAAGTAGCGATGCCCTTTGTTACTAGTGGCTTCTTGTTCCTAGTATATAATATAGTAAGGCCAGGAACCCCTAGAAGCGTCCTTGCTCCTAGTAGCGATGCCAGGAGCCCCTAGTAGCGAACATTGTTCCGGTCATGAAATGACTCCCTTCGCACGCCACCGAGGTGAAGCCCTTCTACTGGCCCAAGCAGTGGAAGTGCAGGTCGCCGTGACGCCAAGGTCGGCGAATGTCCAACGGGGCCCCGTTTGGAGTTTTCGGAGCGGCAGTGTGCTGAGGCTTCGCCTCTATGTTTTGGAAGCCTCCAGGAAAGGCCAAGAAACGCTGATTGAGCAGGACCGTTGCGTCCCGTCTTCCGGTCTTCCGTTCTTTGGAGCTCATGCACACGGCTCGGTGGGCAGGTCAGGTTGAGGAAACCTTCTCGCAAGTTCTTGTAGTTTTCGTTGTTCTGGAATTTTCTGGGATGCCCGTTGCAAAATCCATAGGCTTCCCTTTCTTTTCTCACAGGCAGTTGCCCATGGAGCAGCTGCGGGTTGCGAGCATCAGAAGCAAGGATTGCCAAATCCCCAGAGTGCCTCAAGCAATCCTGGCTGTTCAGCTGGGGGGGACATCGTGTAGTTACGCATATGACGCATATATATATATATATATAAGTAGTTCCCGGGCAAGCCGGCGGCGGAAGTTTCCTATAAGAACAAATTGACCTATAGGAGTGTCCACGTTCTCTCCAACATGCGCGTCCTCCAGTCAAACGCACGCGCTCCGGACTTTTGACCCACGGGATTCCACGTGTGTAAGGTGTGTGCCCCCTGCAGGATCAGCAGCTCACAACAGCGTACTGGGTTGTATCTTTGCCACGACAAGAGGGGTGTATGACGAGTGGTGTATGATGAGTGGTGTATGACGAGTGGTGTATGATGAGTGGTGTATGCTGAGTGGTGTATGATGAGTGGTGTATTGACCAGCAGTTGAATGTCCTGTCCTGCATAAATGCAACCAAATACTATCAGTATGAACTGTGCCAAACCTGCACGCCGCGAGAGATGACTCAGCAGCGAGAGATGACTCAGCCGCGAGAGATGGCTATAGCGAGAGCTGACTCAGCAGCGAGAGATAATTGAGCAGCGAGAGATGACTCACAGCAGCGAGAGCTGACTCAGCAGCGAGAGATGACTCCTCCGCGTACTACACTTGTACTACAAAGTGGCCAGTTCTCAGCTTCCAGCTCCACAGGTTGTTCCGCGTGCTAAAGTTGTACTAGAGTTACTAGGAAGTCGCCAGTCAGTTCTCATCTTCCAGCTCCCCAGTTGCTCCGCGTAAAGTTGTACTTGAAAGTCGCCAGTTCTCAGCTTCCAGCTCTACAGATTGCTCCCCGTACTAAAGTTGTACTAGAAAGTCGCCCGCGTACTAAAGTTGTACTACACAGTCGCCCGTTCTCAGCTTCCAGCTCTACAGATTGCTCCGCGTACTAAAGTTGTACTAGGAAGTCGCCAGTTCTCAGCTTCCAGCTCTACAGATTGCTCCGCGTACTAAACTTGTACTAGAAAGTCGCCAGTTCTCAGCTTCCAGCTCCACAGATACTCCGCGTACTAAAGTTGTACTACAAAGTCGCCAGTTCTCATCGTCCAGCTCGCCAGCCAGTTCTCAGCTTCCAGCTCTACAGATTGCTCCACGTACTAAAGTTGTACTAGAAAGTCGCCAGTTCTCAGCTTCCAGCTCTACAGATTGCTCCGCGTACTAGAGTTGCACTAGAAAGTCGCCAGTTCTCAGCTTCCAGCTCTACAGATTGCTCCGCGTACTAGAGTTGTACTAGAAAGTCGCCAGTTCTCAGCTTCCAGCTCCACAGATACTCCGCGTACTAAAGTTGTACTACAAAGTCGCCAGTTCTCATCGTCCAGCTCGCCAGATACTCCGCGTACTAAAGTTGTACTACAAAGTCGCCAGTTCTCAGCTTCCAGCTCCCCAGATGCTGTGCCTGCCACGAAATTTGCACATGGAGGTTCACAAAGTGCTGTGCCTGCCACGAAGTCTGCACATGGAGGTTCACAAAGTGCTGTGCCTGCGAAGAAATCTACACATGGAGGTGCGCAAAGTGCTGTGCCTGCCACGAAATCTGCACATGGAGGTTCACAAAGTGCTGCGCCTGCCACGAAATCTGCACATGGAGGTGCACAAAGTGCTGTGCCTGCCACGAAATCTGCACATGGAGGTTCACAAAGTGCTGCACCTGCCACGAAATCTGCACATGGAGGTTCCCAAAGTGCTGTGCCTGCCAGGAAATCTGCACATGGAGGTGCACAAAGTGCTTCACCTGCCACGAAATCTGCACATGGAGGTTCACAAAGTGCTGTGCCTGCCAGGAAATCTGCGCATGGAGGTACACAAAGTGCTGCGCCTGCCACGAAATCTGCGCATGGAGGTTCACAAAGTGCTGCGCCTGCCACGAATCTGCACTTCAAGAAACAAGTGAAAACTCTAATCCCAATGGACGGACGATTCCGAGCATGATCCGAGCATGACCCGAGACCGTCTCGCAACCGTCGTTCCGCAGACCTTGACTTGCCAGCTTCGGAGCCACCGGTTCCATTGAAAAATACAGCATTTCGTGCCTTTGCTATCTCTCCACAACCCATTTTGTCTTGCGCCTGCCACAAAATCTGCACATGGAGGTTCACAAAGTGTTGTGCCTGGCACGAAATCTGCACATGGAGGTTCACAAAGTGCTGCACCTGCCACGA